TTTACTGGATTATCTATGCTGTACTGATTATTTTCCTCATTTGTACTGCTGCGGAATATATTGGTGCTTTATAATAGTAATAATTATAATAAAAATATAACCGTGGCCCTCTACTATGTATCAGTCAGGTGCTGCAGGAGGGAAAGCAATTAACTAAGCTAGATAATTATTTTAGGATTCCTCCTTAATTAAGTAATTGATTTTCCATCTTATTTCAGGCTGATAGTTTGACATTCTTCCTTTTTTAATTAATTGATTTCCTGCTTGCAGTATATGGGAATCTACATACTACAGGGAAGCACTTAATTCCCCTTTTAATATGTAGATATCATATGTTGACCCAGAAACCTTGGTGAACAGGACAAAAACTGGATGCGGGAAGTGAGGAGGGGATGACTTAGCTAAGTCATATGTAAATGGTATTGGGTAGAGAACTATTTCCATATAGCATTGTGTGTAAATGGTGTTTGCGAGGGGAATTTGCCCACCATGTAAAGGAGGCAGGCGCATGTAAAGAGACAATGCACTTATCATGCATTCACAAACTACACTATGCATTCCCATACTGCACTATGCATTCACACACTACACTATGCATTCCCATACTGCACTATGCATTCACACACTACACTATGCATTCCCATACGGCACTATGCATTCACACACTACAGTCTGTGTGGGGTCAGTATGTGTGTGTGAGGCGGGTCAGTCTGTGTATCGGTCAGTCTGTGTGTGGGGGGAGGTCAGACTGTGTATGTATGGGCCAGTCTGTATGGGGGAGCAGTCTGTGTGTGTGTATGGGTCAGTCTGTGTGTGTGTGTGGGGGTCAAACTGTGTGTGTATGGGTCAGTCTGTGTGTGTGTGTGGGGGTCAAACTGTGTGTGTATGGGTCAGTCTGTGTGTGTGTATGGGTCAGTCTGTGTGTGTGGGGCAGTCTGTGTGTGTGTGTATGTGTGTATGTGTATGAGTCAGTCTGTGTGGATGGTCAGTCTGTAGGTTTGTATGGGTCAGTCTCTGTATGTGTATGGGTCAGTCTGTGGGTTTGTATGGGTCAGCTTGAGCTCCAAGAGAGATACCTCTCATGTCGTGACCTCCCTTGTACCCAATGGACCACGGATCTGATTGTGCCACCCCATCCCTGCAAGGTAAGATGAGGGAAAGGGGAATATTCTTTTTTTTAATTATTATTATTAAAGAAAAAATTGTAAATCTCTTCCCTATCTCACTCTCTACACTCCCTGAACACAGTATACCCTTACAGACAATGAACCCCCCACATACAGTACACTCCCAACAATACCTTTGCATACACACACAGTGCACCCCTAACACACATCATCTCTTCACTTACATACACACTTCCTCCCCACATACCTTCACCCCCCCACACACACATACATACATACATCCTCCACCCATTACACACTGAATATATAGGATATATATATATATATATATATATATGTAATAACTACAGCTCCTTGATAAGCACACAATGCAACCCCAATACACATACACTCACAATGCAGCCCCTAGATGCACACGCACATCCTTTACAGGCCCTTTCAGCACACACAATCTCAAAAGCTCCTATACATGAGTGCGTGCTCACACTACAGCCCCTAGTTACACATAGTACACCATAAACAGATTCCTCTATACACACACTTCACCAAAGCCCCTTCTAAACACCATGGAAAATGATCTTGCATCTCCTGAAAAGGTTTTCCAGTTTCCCTGAAAAGGTTTCTTGCCTGTAATAAGGAAGGCGCAGCGGTGGAACTACAGGCAGTGCTGGTGTTGCGGTTACACCATAGCCCATCGAGTGGCTTGTGCAATTAGAGCTAACCAATGGGCATGTGTCTTCAGGGGTCCTAAACTGTTTTTGTACCACCAGGGCCCTCTCTATGTTGGTTCCGCCACTGTGCAGCAGCTTCCCCAGCACACAAGCTATGCCTCTGCATGGAAGATCGGCTCCCCATACGCAAGCTCCGCCCCCAATCTCTGACTGAGACACACACTGACAGACATACACACATTCTGACAGACATACAGTGACAGGCACACACTCTCTGAATGAGACACACACTGACAGACATACAGGAAAGGTGCCCAAAGGGGACAGCCCCTCTTAGAAAGGGATGGGTCCTCCCAAATGTTAGGTAGGTCAGCCTGACATGAATGCAAGAATAAAAAACAAAAAAGGGTCAGGTAGTGACTAAATTACAGTATAGATATATTAAAAAACAGAGCCAATTTATCCAAAATAAAAATGGAGGGCTAGTGAGCAACTAATATGGAAAATATGCAAAGTAAAATCAATAAGTCCAAATTTGGAGGTGCAGCTAGTTGGATAACAGCAAAGATTCAACTGGAGGTTTTCTTTCTTCATAAAATCAGGGGAATCCGCATTAACTCAGGATTGGTGTCGATATAAAAGAGAAGAACAGAAAGACAACTCCAATGGTATGGTATATTTCATACTCTCTTTTATATCATCATCAATACTTAATGCTGATTCCTCAGATTTTATGAAGCTAATTAATGATACAAAGAGAAGCAGGTGCTGTCCAGACATCAGTTGATCATCTTTATCAAAGTTACCAACAGAAATTAAATCCACGAGAGGCAGTTCTAAACTTTTTTTGAATTGGCCAATTTGCGGGAAGAGTTCTTAGGGTCATAGATTAGGCTGTTTTACTATTGTTCCTCCTGATTTTAAATCTCATTAATAACCTTCATTTTTGCAGTATCCACATTTCTATTCAGCCTGATAACAAAACAGTATCTTGTCTCCTGCTTCATCTTCTCCAGAAGGAAAGCATTTAACATCATTAATGGTATGTCTGAATCAGCTCTTCATTGATTGATGAGCTCATAGATGTCTTGAGTCAACATCTTTAAACTTCTGGGCAAACCATTCCCCTTCCTACACGTTACTGTCCATCATAGAAATGAAGGAGAGTAGATTTCTTTTGCTCTCACTAAATTC